ATCAATGCATTTCCTCCGTACCTATCAAGACTGATGCATATATGAGGGGAGAGACTTCCTGGCTTAAACCCATCTATCTCAAAGCCTTTTTATGTCACAGTAGAGGGGTGTGTGAGAGAGTTTGTCTGTACTGAAACAACACTATTCTACTTTCTCCATACACAGGAGACAAAAGTGACATTTCTGAAATGGTTTGATCTCAGACCAAAACTATGCACTCCAGCTAGGAAGATGGTTGCCTCACCATATGAGAGCACACCATTTCAATCTTTCTATTACAAAAAACAACAAGCGGCTGCTTACAATGTAGCATGGCAAATGCAACGCTAAGCACAGCCCTCAGGAGGAGGTCATACTCTGCTGTACTTTATTTGCATTAAGGCTGATCACAACAGGACAGCTGTGAGCTTGACAGCTAGTGATAACAGGCAACCAGTAGGTCCTTAACTGAGAAGGTCAGACTGCTCTATTAAGAGGGCTTTCTATTGCCATGGATAGGAGAAAAGGGAAGAGGAATAAAAGTGGAGAACAGAGTGGAAATACTGAGCAAGTCTCACCCTAATAGCAGGAAGAGAGAGAAAGGTGTGAAGATGTCTACAACCTGCTGTCTTTTCTATGTTAGCTGCCTGCTAGCTTGGAAAAACAAACAAACCCATAACCCCAAACAACCCTCCCTTCCCCCAGTGCCAAAAAAGTTTCCACTCAATTAAAATTCTGAATGTAACTTAGAAAAGTCCAATCCCAACTCCTCTCCCTACACCCAGCCAATCTTCAAGAGCATATTGCAAAGAACAGAAAAGGCAGGTATGGACATTTCAGTGACAGACTTGTTTTAAAAGTCAATCAAGCTGTCTACTGGAATATGGCGGCAGCTTTTTAACTAGCAATCCTAGTTAGATACTGATTGCTAAAATTGACCATGGCAAGCAATGCAAATGAAGCAGCTTGGCAAAAAGAGTTCTCAAAAAGTCTAGTTCAGAAAATTCAGCTTCTTATTTCTCAAAAATATGTATCTTGGTTTTTCTTAAATATAGTTTATAAAATAAGGCAACTTGAGACATGGCATAAGAGGTAAATCCTTTTTCCCATTAATTAGGTACTGCAGCTATTAAAGATTAAGTCAAACAAATGTACAGTACTTCCAGTTTAGCAAAAAGCCATCATCTCCAGCTCAAACAGAGACAGGAACAAGGCAAACTAAGGAAAAGTTGTCATACATCTGAAAGGTGTTTGCTCATAATAATCCATTCACAAGTAACTAGAAATGCTTCTCCTAACAAGAATCACTGGCGGCTCTAAAACACTTCAGAACCACTACTGTGAAGTGTTGTAACTGCAAATGTAAACTGGAAATGGATGTAAAGACATAAAATGGTACACTACAAAACTTTTTCATACTAGAAGCTGTAACCACAGTGCCAGAGGAAAAAGTCTATATTCATGGTAAGATACTTTTTGGTACTAGTCTCGAGTCAGTTCTAGAAGAAGGCAATGTTTTTTATTCAGCTGGCAAAGAACTTCCTGCCAAGTTGGGCACTGACTTTAACTTAGCTGCATGCTTAATTGTACGTAACTTCAAGCACAAGTAAATTGAGCACACAGTAACAGAACCAGCATAACCCGGTTATCATGGAATGTACAAGAAATGGAAAATTTGCTTTAGATTCACAAAGAAAGTGCTTAATACCAGCAGTTGGTCCCGATCTTGCCATCCGACATACACACATGCATACCTCAGGTGGAACTCAAGTCAGCCAGAGTTGTGTCTATATGCGAGGTCTCTTCTTTTATTAACAGGAAAAGGGAAGGTTCACAGGCAGCCCCCATAAAAGCTAAGGGGATTTCCTCTCAAAATAACCCCCGTATGCTGAGCGCGGGAAGGAACCTCCATTATAAGGCAATACAATATACAGAAGGGATTTTTCCCAGAGGGAAAAAACCAAACAAAACCAGATATTAAAGTAAATCTTTGGGACCAACCAATAATACACCCATATCTTATAGTATTAAAGCTATAAACTGTCAAGCACCATCTAGTGCAACTCTTCTCCTAGGCAAATGTAAGCCTACTCAGTTTCCTGGTCAATACTATACAACATAGTGAAAACTACATCAGATAGCAGCATTTTTAATCGTATTTTTCCTTTTTCTCTTATAAAAACAAAAAGAAAGAAGCACACACATATATATTCTAGCCCCCCATGATTTTCTTCTGTGCTTAATACTGGAAGCATGGGCCTCATGAGTTTTGTAGTGTAATTCTTTTTTTCAGGTTACTCACCAATTCCCATGGGGCTAAAGTTTGCATCTTAGTACTATTTCTCTGAGAACGTTTCAAATAAGTCATCATGGTGCATTATCTTAAGGAAGTGGTGCTGCGGAGCAACAAAAGAGCACATTGCACATCTGTGTGAAACTGGGGGCGACGGGAAATCACAATAGGTTACAGAAATCCAACAAAGGTTACATCTTGGTCCACAAATTAAGAAATCCTGATCACCAACAGAAATATATATGTTATAGCCCTTGGTCTTAAACCTCCTCCACCCTGGTTCTGGCTATAACTGCCTTTTCATACATGTTCTGAAGGAAACTTAAGGAAGCTGTTTTAGACACTGAGCTATCCTCCAGTTTGAGGACAGCTCCAATACCGCACGCACCAAATAAGCAACCATATTAGTTTCTTGCTCCTGTGGGAGGTTTTTAGTTTGCCTCTTCAGAACAGATAGGAGGAATCTTGCTTGAGAGCAGGGTGTAGACGTAAGGCCAGATTTTGTTGGTCTCCGTCCCAGAAAATGAGTGTAGGACACCTCTGGTCCTGAAAAACATAGAACAGAAACTAAGTGAGAGATGCATATTAGATGGATTCTAAGAAACACTTGAATTTGCACAGTAGTTTTTCTAGCCTATACTTGCTTGTAGACAATATGCAAATTAACAGCCAAAGGAACCGAATGCATCCTAAACTCCTGAACAGGACATCTTGTTATTACATGGTTAGGTTTACAACAGAAAAAAAAAACCCTGGCATAAACTTTATCTAGACTACTTTAATCATGTATTCTTTACTACTTAGAGAACTTAACTTAGCCCCATACAGCCAAACACCAGACACACGCACCCACATACGCACCACCTTCTCCCCCTGTGTTTTAAACTGCCAGCAGTTGGTGCTCTTGGAATCAGAGGCATGTAAAAAAAAACATTGCTACACCTGTGCCAAATTATCTAAAAGGTATATTTAATCAGACCCTGTAAAGCACAGGTTTATTTTCCTAGTGTATTGTGGTAGACTGACATTTGTTCTTCAAATGCAAAAAGCCTTAGACAGACTTAGAATATGCTTAACTAAGTACTTTAAAAAAAAAAAGTGGGATCACCTGCATATGCAAGTGATAGGGTCAGCTGGAGCCTTATTTCACATCTTTCCCCCATGTGATTATTTCAGTATTTAAAAGGGCTGCTGAGTGATACACGCCTTATAATCCTCCACCAATCCTCCTGAATTGCTGCACTGTTGGCACAGAACTGAAAATATTCTATGACATGCAAGACAGAACATGCCAAGACAGTCGCAGCATAGAAGGGAATATAAATACTGTCACTGTGGAGACAGTCGCACACATTTAAGCACCTGAGTAACTTGACTCACATGGAGTAGTGCCATTAGTACAATATAAATTAAACAATACTTCACAGGGAAGCAAGCTGTCGCTGATAACCTACTAAAAACTCGAACGCAAGTCAAGTTTCACAGTTGGTAGGGTCGGAAGGGACCTAAGCAGATCATCGAGTCCGACCCCCTGCCTTGGCAGGAAAGAGTATTGGGGTCAAAC